AGGTGAAAGAGGACCGAAGGTAAGCTATTCCCCCCCTTCAGCTAGAATGACTTCGAAACAATGTACTTAGGATAAAAAAAAAACGTGAAAAAAAACAACTGTTTGGCAGCTTGCGATAATTATCATGCTCTTTTGGTTTCTTCAAGGGTGAGAAAGGTGAAACCCTAGCCGGAACTGGCGAAGTATCTAGAGGCCCTCCGGGTGTAAAGGGGAGCAAAGGTGGTCCCGGCCCCATCGGCCCTCGTGGACCCGACGGTGAGCGCGGTCTTCCAGGCCCCAAAGGTCCCAAAGGCTACCAGGTATTTCTGTGGAACACCTATTTTAAACCGTGCACCGTTTGCTTAATTTACCCATGTATGTTCTAAAAAACGTTCAAAATTGGCATAGCTATACTTTCTGTGTATGTACGCACGGAATGCGGCTCAACAATACACTTTCTTTCATTTTGCAGGGTCTCGAAGGTCAAATGGGTGACGTCGGCCCTAAGGGCCCCAAGGGCAGAACGCCTAAACCGAAAGTTTTGCAATTTGTAAGTAAAAGAATTCCTGGTTTATAAGCATCTATCCTCCTTAGGCCGAACGTGGAGAGAAGGGAGAAAAGGGAGAGAAGGGCGCCTCTTACGAAGCACCGCCAATCCTAAAGGGAATTGAGTGCGTTTATCTGACCTTTGTTTCTTTTCGTTTTTGACCTGGAAAATATACGCCTTGGTGACGCCTTTTCTATTCACTTTTAAGGGTCGGCCCGAAAGGTTTCAAAGGTCTGTCAGGTGTCCGCGGCCCCGAGGGTGACAAGGGCCAGAAAGGACGGGCGGTACGTTTTTGAGAGTGTTTAGCTAGCTGCCCCAGTGTAACCGCTGGTGCACACTTTCTCTGACAAGGTCCTCTTTTCTTCTCTTTGTAGGGCCTGCCAGGTTTTCCTGGCCTTCGCGGACCTCATGGGGAACCAGGTGAACCGGGACCTCCGGTTAGTCCTTTTTTGGCCTGACAGCTGCTTGCTGCTGCCTTTATTCTCTCCTGAACGCATTTTTACTTTTGAATGTCTTTTTTTTCATACCACAACAGGGCAAGAAGGGCAAAATGGGCCAAATGGGTGTCTCCGGTGGACCTGGTCGCGCGGGTGCAGACGGCTACGACGGTCCACAGGGACCTGAAGGACCGCGTGGGAAGAAGGGTGAGAAGGGTTATCAAGGACGCCCCGGACCAAAGGGTGAAAAGGTACTCAAAGACTAATAATTTACGTCCCATCGAAGAATGCACCAATTAACTGTCAATACGAATGGGATGCTTATACGGATAGATGTCTAGTTTACCTTCCAGAAAACCCCCTTCCTTCTGTAATAGGGGATTGGGTCTAATAAAGGTTATACAGTGTGGGCATTAGAGGGGAAAGGAAATGAAAATAAAAAAGAAAATTTTTAAACGTAGCAAAAAAACAGGAATAGTTATTTCAATAATGTAACGATTGCCAAAAAAGCGCGCCATAATTAAAATGTGCAACTACGCAAATATGAGAACTAAGCAAATTAAAAAATACGAAAATAAAAAAACTGAAAAACGAAAGGAAAATCTTTTCAAATACTTACATGCCGGCGGCGAAAAAAGGAACAAAAGCTGGAAAATCGGGCTACTGAAAGTGCGGAAATTTTTTGTTATTATAAGTCAAAGACACAAGTGACCCACATAGACAGCCCAAAACGTAAACTGAAGTAAGCGTAACTCACCTTATTAAAAAGTAATATCAAACTAAAGTAAAAATAATCAAATGTTATACTGAACTGAAGACTACACTAAAGATAGAACTTAAATAAAATAAAGTTACAGAAAATAATAAAACCAATAAACGTAAATATTACACTCAAAACCAAATTAAAACTTAACATACGAAGAAAATAAACTATAAATCAGTAAGAAGCATAAAGAAGTAAATTTCCCCTTTTATTTGTGGCACGATTTTTTTGTTGCAATAACAGCAGCAGATTAGCTATACAATTTCTGAGAGGTAAATTAGACATCAACTCTTAAAAGATTTAAATTTAAAAAGATATCA